CCTAAGTCATTTTTGTCCATTTTTTCCAAATATCCAAAATTATACCTTTCCCTCATACAATCTATTTTAGAAAACTTAAAAAATAGGAAGCAATGAAGATAGGATATTATTTTATGGCAAAATTTGAAAGAGATAACACAAAAAAGAAAATTATAGAGCAAGCTCATTTGTGCACATGCATGCAAAAATCCTACATGATAAATTTCAAGAAAAAAATATATGTACACAATTTAATGGAGCCATCCTTGGAGTAGATATTAAATTTAATACTCATAACCCCAATGTGCTGTTTTAAGAGACACTGCCCCTTGTACTTTTCTTCCCATAAAAACACAGCCCCAAATCTATTAAGATCATGAAAAACAAAAGACTAAGAATCTGTCCCACAACCAAGGAGAATATGGATGCAGTATCCTGGGGTAATCCATGAGCAAAAAGAAGACATTAGTGCAAAAACTGATGAAATCCTAATCAAGTCTAGAGCTTAGTGAGTGGTAAGGTACCAGTGTTGTTCTTAGCTTTACCAAATATAAAATGGATGTGTAGGATGTCCCTATTAGGGGAAGCTGGGTAAAGGCTGTTAAGAACCCTCTATGCTACCTTTGCCACTGCCTGGGAGACCTATGAGCAGATGTGGCACAGGCTTGACTCTGAGTGCAGCAAGCTGAGAAGACCTTCCTAAGGAAGAAAGGCCTGGGCAGCCTCCTGATGCCAGAAAGAAAAGCAACCAAATGCTGAGGGCAGTGTGGGTTCAGACAGAGGCAGAGGAGAGTTGGCCATGACAGAGAGGAGGTCCAGGTGAGGCCAGAGTCAGGAGACCCATAACCCCCAGGCCAATTTCTTGGAGTACTGGGTAGGCATAGAGAAGAGTTCAGTAAAGGAGTAACCAGATCACTTTTATCTTTCAGGGAGATAATTTGAGCTGGCTTATAGAGAAGGAATGGGAGCCCTGCTGCAGGAGCAGTTGGTGCCAGACCAGGGTGGGCCACTGTGAGCAGAGGATCTGGTTTGGGGGACAGAAGGAATACAACAGGTGGCTTCAAATGTGGAAGATGAGGGACAAAGAAGACTCCACTTCTAGCATTAGAGCTGGGGCTTCTGGGTGGGTGAGGAATATGGAGCAAAGATATCTCCAGAGAAGAAGAGGAGGAAAGGTTGCAAAATCAATGTGGGAACTGGTTGCATTTGATTTGACTGGTATTTCTGAATGGATAGTGTTAGTAATTGCATGATACTTCTAGAAAAGTTGTAAAAGTTTTTGGTTCACTATGGCACTCAATCAGTTTTTAAAATGTGCTTGAAAAACCAACACACACAAACAGTATATAAGTATGTGTATATATAATATGTAATAGCAATATATGACTGTACTAACATTGTAAAAAGCAGAAAAATAAAAATTTAAAGGATGATATTAAAAGTAAAATTAAATCTAAGTATTTTTCTCCCTGAACCTTGTTAGTTTAGTGAGTTCAAAGCAATGGCAGCAGGTGAAGGAGTTAGGTCTGCAAAGCATCTCTTTCAAAATAAGACCAGAGAAGAAGCAGAGTCTATCGAGCCCTCCCAATCTCTGTTCTGCCCACCCTCTGCAGGCAAAGAGTAATAGATACCCCTATATTATCTCTTGACTTTACTGCTGTCGATGACACATCTCATTGGCTTCTTAGAGGGACCACTGGTCCTTCTCCACCTCCCATGTGAGATCTGATGACCTTGATTTGATTGTGGTCTCAGTCATTTTCTAGATAAATCTTATACAAATCAACTCCACGGCTTGATTTTCTCATCCATAAACTAGAGATTGCAAATTTTTCACAGTGTAATGGGGATTAAATGGTATAATGTAAATGAAAACAATTTGTGGACTAAAATATAGTTTCTTATGATGCCAAGAGCTACACCAGTATTTGTTATTGCGTTTGTAGAAAAAATCTTGGCTGTGTAGTCTCCCATTTTTCATGTACATCTTCCATCAACTATAAAATACAATTGCCACACTCCCCTGAGGGTCAGAAGTGGCAGTAACTCTTCCCAATCTTTAGGTTACTTTTTCCTAACTAGAGCACTGTTTTTCAACTTAGGATGGTTTTCCCTCTCAAAGCATATCTGACAATGTCAGGAGACATTTTGTGTTGCAAATGATGAGGGTGGGAGAGCAGTACTGACGTATAGCAAGTGAAGGAGAGGGAAGCTATTAATCATCTACAAAGCACAGGACTGCCCATAACAAAGAGTATGAAATCTCTATGGCACTGATGTGGAGACCCTGCCTGACTTGCTTGCCAAATCTGGGTTTCCAAGGAGCAGTGGAATGCGTATGAGAGATGTAGAATGAAACTGCCTGGGACAAATAGCATCGTAGGTTTGGTTGTTGATCTTTTCCCTACTCGATTTTCTGTTGATGGTTACTCATCTACTTAACAAAATCTCTGGCCTGGCCTTGGGTACTGAGTAGGGCAGACACTGACACCTACTGGATAAAGGGTAGGAGGAGGAGCCCGCAGGGAAGGATGAGAGGGCAGCTGCTATCTTCTTCCCTCAGGATATTTTTACTCAGTGTGGATTGAGTCTGGAAGTGAAATCCTGAAAGTTATGAACTTCACTAGTCTCTCCTTCTACTTAGTTCTTCTGACTCTCAACATGATCTTGCTCTTTGACATTCCTGTAATGTCTAAGAGCCTTGTGCACCAGATCATAAGGTTGTCTTCTCCCTACTTGCACAAACCTGTGAGTGTGGCACCTACAAACATCCAGAAATTGTCATCTTGGCCTTGCCTTCATTTGTGGAATCCCAAGAGTCGGCCTTTGCCTCTAGTTCCTGACCACAACAATCAGTTACAAGCAAACAGCAGCTGAGACACTTTCATTTCCACCTCCTGGTCTCTTACCCAGATGCCTTCTGTTGATTTCCAAAACTGAAATCAAATTGGGAATTATTCAGTCTAATATCATAGAGAGTAATAAGACAAAGTCGTGAAACTCCCATCTGTCTCAAAATTATCTACTTGTAGATGTTTATCGAGCCAAGAAACTTGCCATATGCGTAACATATTGACTAAAGGAAAAGAAACTCTCTACATTTTTTAAGAAAATCTTGACAATGTATATTTTTTTTTCCAGACTGTTAAATGACCTTCTCTTCTTGCACAGGTAAATAGTAATAAGACAAAGTCGTGAAACTCCCATCTGTCTCAAAATTATCTACTTGTAGATGTTTATCGAGCCAAGAAACTTGCCATATGCGTAACATATTGACTAAAGGAAAAGAAACTCTCTACATTTTTTAAGAAAATCTTGACAATGTATATTTTTTTTTCCAGACTGTTAAATGACCTTCTCTTCTTGCACAGGTAAATCGAATAGCTGCTTCCAATTTCTCTATATTTCTCTCTCTCTCTCTCTCTCTCTCTCTCTCTCTCCTTTTCATAATAGTCATTCTGAATGGCTTCTGTTTACATGGAGTATTCAACCTCATACCACAAAGGATCTGATAACATCTTTTAAGTCAATCTGTTCTTGTATTTTGTCTAACATGCTTTTAAATGTCTTTTCAGAAATGAAATACTTGAATTTTTCTCACCATGGCTCTTGTCCCAACATCTCTAATTGTTTTGGAGATAATATCCCATTCATTTTCACAATATTCCTCTGGAAATGCAGACAATATTATGCCACCTTGCACACGGTCAAGCTGCAGCATATGGGAGTTGATTAACTCTATTTTTCCCTAACTTCTATATTGTTCATCCCTTTTCCAGCCTGTCAGCCCAAGGAGTGGAATTAATTATCTTCTGAACATCCTTTCCAGTGACCTGGATATCCCTCATGAAATTTACCAGTCTCATCTTCCATGAAAGTCACCTGAAAATACCTTGTCTTTCTTTTTTAGTCTGTAGGTTTGGTGCCCTTGTCTGACTGATCTATGACCACCTACTAATCTCAGCCTACAATGTTCAAGACAACTCAATAGATGAGTGTTTATGGCTCAAGTAAAAGGAAGGCATGTGACATTATAAATGGGCAAATTGCTGAATACATCATAAACACACTTGTATATTTATTTCTTATATATAGGAAATAAAAGGGCAGCATTTCTATAGGATGATAATAGTGTATTTGTTTTCACCACGTTTTTCTCATTTATGTAAGCCTCATGGCAGTCTCATATGCAGGGACACCCTCTCCAATCTACGATGAATAAACTAAGACTTAGAGGGGTTAGGTTTCCAGTTCAGTGTCTTCGTCTTTCAACAATCACATGGCAGTTCTTCTTCCTATTTCCACTGCCATTTTCTCTGAACTACAACCAATCTCGCTTCCACGTCTACCTCTTATTTTTAGGATATCGCATTTTCAAAAAATCTCAGCTTTTATTACATTTCCTCCACCAAATCATCGTTAGCTATCAATTATCCTTCAGGAGGATATAGAAGACATTTAGCATATCAATGAAAGCCTTTCATAATATAATTTGAATTTTATTTTCCTAGATTTTTCTCTCACACAACATTTCTATTCTGGCACACTGCTCTGTTCACTCTCCCTGGATGTGTACCAAACTTCCTAGCCTCAAGGAAGCCATTGCCCCATCTGAAATAATCCAAAATGCTCTACTCTTCTAAAAGAGCTCTATGTGCCCTTCAAGGCCCAGTGATAGCCTACATCACTCCTATGGCCCTTCTTTAACAGCTAGAGTAGACACAGACTCATCCTTCCCTTGAAAATACAAATACTTCCTGCCTGGTAAGTGCTTTATGCATCCTTATATCTCCCATGACAGCGATACAATGTCTCCTACACGGTAGAAATCTGGTTAATATTCATGGCTTGGTTGATGCCACTGAAAATTTGAATTCAAGCAGAAAGCCTACTCCTGGAAATAAAGGATTTGCAGTATCTTTAGTCTATCTTAAGGCATCTGAGAAATTTGTTTAAATTTTACACCATCATAGTGTAAGAGGAGTTTATTTTACCAGACATTTCTTTCCATTTTAATGCCTCGTATTGGCAACTTCAGTGTCAGAGCATCTGTGGACCCCGAGAGACAGCGCTCAGAAGGTAGTTTTCATGTCGATCATCTTTGTTATTTTCTACTGTGCTTAGAACAGTGACTTCCATATATTATGTCCTCTATGGGCATTTTATTTCACTATATTATTCATTTAAATTTTATATATGAAGGCACAAATCCAATGCAAATTTTAATTAAAATGTGTGATCCTGGAGCACAGTATAATGGCCAGATCAAACCAGGCCATTATGAACTAATTAGCATCTCACACAAGAAACATTTCTTTTCTGGTGGGATACTTGTGTCCAAGCCCATCTCCCTTCCCGTTAAAGCACATTGTTTTTTGGAAGAACAGCACTCAAATTCACACATTCCTCTTAGGATCCAAGCAGTAGCACATCCAGCATTTAACTACAATAAGATACCCAGAATATGAAAAATAAATTCCAGCAACACAGCTTTTCTCTGCATAGTAGTATTTACTTCTCCAATTCTTTTCTTTTCAATCTGGTTTCCACTTCACATGTTGTCTGTGTTTGAGAGAGAACACAAGAGATTATATAGCACACAGAACTCCAGGCAGTTGCTAACACTGAAAATATTCTATTCTTCATTGATTTGCTCGGTCTATGCAATGTAATAGAGACTTCCACGGGTATATTATATTTGGCGCCAAACCATAACTGGCTGCTATACAACCAATTGGTGATCCACACATGGTATTCATGCAGAAACAAGCAAATGTTATGTGAAAAAAAAAATCTATGGCAGGAAAAAGTGTCCCTGATGTCCTACCAAATACTGCCAAGTACTGCCAAGTACTGCTGGAGAAAACTGTAACTGCTGAGCGGCTCTATGAGGAAGAAGTGATTTTCAGCATCCACCAGGTCCTGAATGCTTTCTTCTCCCTTCTCCGGTGTTCCTGATCTGTGCTTTCCCCACCCCAGGTGGGTCGGCGTGTTCCTGTCCTTTCTTTCCTCCCTCCTGCATCTGAGACAGTATATGCTTCCTCCAGAGATTAGGAGACCCTATGAGGAGCCTGGAGACCTTTCTCTCACTCTTTACTTCTCCTTTCAACACACTGGCCCTTCCCCATTCCTTGATCATGTCTCTTTCTAAAATTTTAAAGTAATGCAAAAGGCCTTCTGTGTTCTTGTGGCCTCACCCTCTTTCCTAGCAAATTTCTCGAAAACACGATTTCAGAAAACTTCTTCTCATTTTCCACCCACTCTTAGGTCTACCTTAAGCTATATTTTCCATGAAATTTACCCATCAATCCACCAGTAGCCTCTTAGTTCCCTGTTCTCAGGTTCTTTCTTTTCCATACTTCTCGGACCTGGCACCTTCCCTGCACTCCTTCTCTTCTGTCACCGTCACCTGCCTGACCCTAGAGCTGGCTGTCCACCATGTCTGCCCTCAGGCCTGTCCATCTGTCAGCTGCAGCAAGACTCCTGCTGGGGTTGGGTTGTGCCCCTTTCCCACAGCAGGCTTACTCCTGCTCCCTCTTGGCCCAATGCCCACTTGCCAGCCTTCTTCGAACCTAGGCTTCTCTTTACTTGGGGTCACCCCAAAATTCAATATCATTCCCATTTCTCGAGCAAATTTGAGAATGTCTGTGGCTCCTTCCTTCTGAGTTGGTTACCAAATTTTAAATTGTGAGTTTGTGCATTTGCCCTGCCTTCTCTCCAGGTCCACTTCTGCCACCCCCCACCATCCCCACATGTTACTCTGTTTCCTCAAGGTGATCCTGCTACAGCCTCAAAATGACTCAGCCTCCTAGACTACCACTACTTGTAACACAGGACATGTTTGTCTATAAGAAGAGGTAACAATAGTAGCTACCTCATGGGTTTATCCTGTGGCTTTGACATTTAAAAGGAGTTGTGTTCACAGGATACTGCTCAGAGGCTGGCAGTCGGTGCTGTAAGAGACGTAGCATTATCATCACTACTACAGCCTCAGGGAGTCAGGGGTCGCCTCTCAGTCTGGATCCAGTTCCTCTCTGCAGGCTTGCTGCTCCGTGCCCACTGCCCTGTCCCTCCTTGGCCTGTGTCCCACTAGACAAACCCTGTCCTTCACACCACCGTGCTTCACTTTCCCTGACTTCTGTGCCTGGAGTGTCCTTTTTCTGTCCCCCACCAGCTAGACTTCAAGGTCAGTTTAATATCACCTTCTTCAGGAATCATTTCATAGTCTAGTCAGTCTCCTCTTACCTCAAATTGGAGAAGCCAGAAGAAGGATCTGTTCCCTCTGTGTTCCCACCAGCACTTTGAGTAGTGATTTCTACCCAGATTCCTTGTTGTTTCTCTGGCATGGCACTGACCTTCTTGACCATTGGAATCTGGATTCATCTCTCTGGGAATTCCTTGGTCTAGTGAAAGGAACACAGTTGGTGGCAAATAATCCTCAGCTGAATTAAACTTTTAAAAATTATACAGTAAATGAATATCATGGTCAGAGAACATGTTTCTTACGATTGGGTTATATCCCTATTAATATAGGATATTTGGTCTTCCCTGAAACTTTAAAAGCTATCATCAGACCTTTCCTTAAAACAATAATTTTTTAAAATACGACTCTTTCTTGAGATTTAAATATTGCTTCTGAGGAAGAATCTTAATATGTGAATTTTTTAAGCTTCTACAGCTCAAAAAAAGGACGTGAAAACTAAAAACTCCTTTTGTTTTAACATGGCTGCAATTTGATAAATATTTGGGGCTTTTATTTGCAAAAGAATATAAAGAACCTTTATTTTAAAGACTTGTTTGGTAGAGCTAAAATATCACCATTGTACTCCACTAGAATGAAACATTTGTTGTACTTTTTTTTTAAACTCCTTGCTCTTTAGGCTGTTGTTTAAAATCTTGTTTTTTCATGTGTTACCAAGGAGAAAAGTGATAGCAAATTCCATACTGTGGAATGGCGTTCCTCCTCCCACCCCTCCCCAGCAGTACACACAATGGTGTCTGCATATGTTCTCATCCTCTTTAGCAGACTTTGTTCCCGGCCTGAAAAAGACAGCCTCCCACTAAACAAATACACTCTCCAAAGGATGTGTTTTTCTTTGGTGTTCCTGCAAATTGCTGTGAATCTGTGCTATGTGGTATGGAATTTCAGAGACATTTTTCTATTTGTCCCCAATTTTAAAAAATGTACAAAAGTCACAATTTGCTTATTCCAACTGTTCCTTTTGCCTTTATTCAAGTCATCATCAAGATTCATAAAATCAGTCACCTGAATGACTTTGCTTTTAAAATCATGAGTATAAGTTGAGTTGACCAACTGAAGCATATTCTTTGGTTGGAGGAAAATAACTCAAGTTAACCTTAATTATTTAAATATTATCAAAGTTGTATTTCCAAAATGAAGTATGAAATCAACATATTAAAATTTTGAATATGTTTCATAACATTATACTTCTTGATACATGCTTAGAAGTCATATTTATTATACTTTTGAGGCATTAGGATCTAGCCTGAATATCTCTCCTGAACCCACTGTTTTTCTTTTCTCTTTAATTTCAATTTGTTTGGTTTAATGATAGCTACTGAACATAAATGCCAAATTACGATGGCACTTTCCAGCTGTGTGCAGAACTTTATATTTTAAATACCAATTTGTGATGAAAGAATGCTTCCAGCTCAGTTCACATCAACATTAAAGGTTTTAGCAATTGCCAATTATTTTTCTAAATTAGCTATATTAATTAAGTAAAATATTGTGAATTTAAGATTATGAAGTGTTCAAGTATTATTTCATCTTTAATTAGTAAGAAAAAGGCAATAATATTTTGAGACAGTAAATGGCCATTTATAGAATAAAATTCTTTTTTGTGCTTCAATCCCTTAATTTAAGAAAGCAAGTACAAAACTGCTCTTTAAATCTTGTTATATATGGGATATTTGTTGGAGTATATGTTGAACTCATTATTGGTTCTAATGTCAGGTTGTTAATTAGAACCAAAATGTTGGAATACATTCTTCCTGGACTATACCAAAGCCTAGACCATAGGAAGAATCCCAATTTGAAAGCACGGATTTCAGTGGCATCTGGACTCAGTACTGAAATCTCCACCCCCACCTTGCCACTGGCTTCACCTTCCACCCCTGACAAGGCCATGTCAAGAGAGGAGGACACACCAAGCAAAGCTGACAACATAGTCCCTCTGACTGGCAGCTTACAGCATTACAAGAGGGTGCTGAAGGCTATTGTCAACTGGCTATAGCAACATGATTTTGAAAAATATCTTTCTCTAATATTTCCATGCAAACTATGATAGCCCCTACACTGTTGCTTCAAGGCAGAGCCCATGGCTGCTTTTATAGAAGTATTTCCCCTGCATTCCTCTTCCTGATCCAGGCCCATCAGCAATGCTGAGCTGCAGAGTGGAAAGGGCCAGTCAAGAATCCTGCCTGCCTGCTGCGGGGACAAGCCAGTGTTTCGCAGCCAAGTGAACCAATTATGTGCTCTGGCGGAGATCTTTAGAGGACAGTGAAAAAATGGAAGCAGTTTAACAAATTTCCATCTAGAATAATTTTTTTTTGTATTTAAATGTTGTATAGAAACTTTCTATCATGAGAAAACATTGGGGTTTTTTAATTCTCGGATTGGAATTTATCCATTAAGCACAAAAGTATATTCAGGAGTTTTTATTCCTATGACCAACATAGGTGCTCCTGATAGATTTGCATTTCCAATTGATAGGGACCTTTCGATAAGGTGCTCCCACGAGGAAAGATGGGAAGAGTGAGTGCTGTTGGGTTCCTCGCTGGACTCTTTCCGTGTGTCTTCTTTCACCTGATCCGGAAATTCAACTGGGAGATTTACATTTTACATGTATTTTTAGTAGAATGCTACTTTCAGAATTGTTTTCCAATTTATTCAGCAGTTAATTTTAGGTAAAATATTTTTTAATGCAAAAATAATGAATTTTGCCATTGTTTGCAATGCAATCACGTGAATTCTTGGAATTTCTAATGGGGGAATCTTTTACATTAGTTTAGATTTCATATCACTTGACAATTTGAAGCATCCAAAATGATATAGGCAAACTGGATGGATGGCCCAATTAAATGCAGTGGGAGTCAATAAAGATAAATGCAAACCACTGTCTTGAACAGTAATAATCCCATAAATATAAAATAAGAAAGAAAACCAATTAAATTTAGCATAGGAAAAAGATGAATTGGCTTTGATAAGTGAAAATTGAGCACAACTGGGAAAATAGCAAACTTTTTCTGACACATCAACACAATTGCTATTGAGCCTGAGACGCATGGAAATAATTCCACCTCAAAAGTGCAAGCCCTTAGCTGCAATGTAAGGCTCCACAGGCCAAATGCAGTTAGTTTGTAAGGAGAAAATAAATGATTACCAACAATGCCCAAAAGTCAAAAGATGTGAGATGTCAAGTAGCAGCACAGCAGTGATTTCATGCCCAATGCTAATGTGTCTCCAGGAGAAGGTGGACATTTAAAACAGTGTGTGGCAAGGACATTTTAATGTCTCCTCCCTCAGTTGGATGTCCCCATTGTCAGCTCTGGGACCCAACAGAATGAGGAAAGCCTGAAAGGCAGTACCCTTAGCAGCTGAGTCTGTCACGGCCTAGTGCATGCAGCAGTACAGAAGAATGCTGAGGCTGAAGGTGCTCCAAGCTGCTAGACCACATAGGAAGGTCAGAGATACCACAGGGTCAGCACCAACCCTGTCTTTGCAGATGGCTCTCTTAGAGACTCTGCCATCATTCCTTCACCAGAGCTGCTGTGGGAGTGATGACAAACTCAGTGGGCATCTAGATATTTAACGGCAACTTCAGAAAGACCGTTTGGGCAGCACAGAGAAATGTTCTGACTGTTTCTCTCAAAAGCCAAGAGTGGCCTGTGGAAATCTACATTCCAGTACTGAGTCAGACAAAAGGATCCTAAAACTCTAGGGAAAGAAATAAATCAGCTACACTGAGTCACCAGAAATCACTGCACTCTGTATCTGGATTTGCCTCCTGCTCATAAACTATCTGGGCTTGCCAGCTTCACAAATAAAAACACAGGATGCCCAGTTAATTTGAATTTCAGATGAACAGCAAAAACTTTAGTATGTGTCATGCAGTACTTGAGACATCCTCATACTTAGAGGAGTTTTTTTAATTCATCTGAAATGTAAAGTTTCCTGGACATCCTGTGTTTTATGTGGCAACCACATCAATAAGAACAAACCTCTACACAGTCCACATCCTGTGGTCCTGTATGTGACATGGCTAAAACAGCTATATCAACAGGACAGATCCAATGCTGCTCCTGTCTTTGAGGCATTGGAAGTTAAGTTGCTACATGAACTTACTACCTTGAATAAGACTAGCATAGATTTTTACAAAGGAAATTCTTGTGAAGAAACATGGAATATACAAATATATATATAAATGTATATATGTAAGAATTTATAATGCAAAATGGCTTCTTCTGGGCCTTTAAAGCCCTCACACTGACTACTGAATTAATTTCCTAGCCAATGTTTCCTGCTTTTTCCTCTCTCTTTTCTTCCAAAATCCCCAAGGCTCCTATAACAGGGCCTGCTTCCCTTCCTTAACAAATCCAGAAGTGCAAAGTGGCACAGGAGGACCTCTCCCCATCCACCTTCCCAAGGGTGTTCCTGCTGCCTTTGCCCTGAGCAGCCATGTGCTGAGTAGGAGCATGTTGGTTCTAGGTGACTCCTCATCCAGAGGACAGGATATCTGGAGACACTTTCTGACACTTTTTTTAAAGCTGTGCCTTTAAAAGAGAGTGAAATCTAGGTATGGAGAGACAGGGGTGTAAAGCACGGCAGGCCAAGATGCAGGCCTGCGACAGAGACACATCTAGTGTTTTCCAAAACCCAGAGGACCCGATGCTGACTGTAATGTGATGCCCAGATCAAGGAGATGTTGGCCTTTCAAAATCACTACAAACATTTTGAGTGTCCTGTCACAATTAAGGCCTCAAAATAGAAAAAGTCAACTGGCAGCTATTTTTAAGCATCAGCAACAGAGAAGTTAACTAAAAATATCTCTGATCTGTGCCATTACAAGTTCATTTTCAATATCACGATGGATCTGCCCAGTTGACTCTGAGTTCCAGGCTCACTTCAGAAATGCTCTCTGCTCTTCTGCTCTGTTGTGTCCCTGCTCTGGTAGAAAACGCTCCCCGTGAGTCCATCTCCTCAGCTCCCATCTCGCTCTCCAGCACCTCGGGCTGCTGTGATGGGCTCGTCAGCCTCATGCCTCCGCTTGTTCATCCCTATCTGGAACGCCCTTCCCCTCTGTTCTCTGAGCACCTCCTCCATGACTCAAATTAAGCACAGGTTGTTCCCATCAGGAATTCAGATTGAACTGAGGCAGCC